ACCGCTTTTTATAAAAGCAAACATTCGAAGATTGTGCCCACCAGCAACCTTCTCTCTTCTCTCGGATAAGATGACCGTGTAACTATAACCTTAACCGGTGGTATCGAAACAAATCACTGTTTCGAGAGCGCATTCTTCTCGACCCCTAACGTCTAACGTTTCTTTTTTCGGTGAACGTAGCCGGTTTGGAAGCCGGTTGCTACCGATCGCTAAATTCATTCCGATGTAGACAGTTATTAGGTGGCTAGAGCCGGTGTAAAACGTCGCTATAATGATCGGTTACTAACTAACTGCCTTTCTCCACTATCCCCCCGCGCGACGTATAAACATCCACAACGTATATATGCATACGTATATACGTGTATAGCGGAGAGCAGCGGTGCACTTAGCCCATAACCCGCGGGCACCCTCCGATACTGTTTACACCGTAGTAATTTGCTAATGGCCAGGCCAACACGATGAATTCGGGATCGAGCGGTTGCGTGGTCTGCATTTCGGATCGCGCTGGACCACGCGCTGGCCAGGACGGAATCATCGCAAGCCTCTCGATCGCCATCGAGGGACACGCCTTCCCTCGTTCTCGTCCGCCTTTTATCGTTCCTCCGCGCGTTATCGAGTCGACTTCTTAGGAAAAATTGTTATCGGCTACTCTCCAACGTCTGATTATCACCCAACGTAATGCAATATTTCAGAAATATTGGTGGTGGCGCACATCTTAAATGCCTCTCTCTCTCTCTCTCTCTCTCTCTCTCTCTCTCTCTCTCGTTTCTTCGAGAAAGAAAGAAAAAAGAAAAGGAAAAAGATGATCCTCTTCTGGTGCGTATGTCTTTTTTTTTCTTTTAGAGAGATCGGAGAGATCCATCGAATCGAGTTTTTTGGTTGTAAAGACACGATTAGAAAAGATTATGCGTTTAAATTGGTGGATTGGTGGTTTCGTTAACGATCATGTTATTCGAGATCCTTTAGCGGGCTCAGTTGGATCGCGACGAGACGAACGAAGCGAGACATGTTTAAAGACAGCGTCAGTTTTGATCGGCGGATCGGCGTTCTGTCGGTAATCGTTCGATTTATCAACCACGAGATCGTTAGCGCTCGGTGGGGAACGAAGGTATTCACGGTGCTGTTAATTAGCTGACGCGCATTAATGGGTCGAGACTCCATTAAACTGTAAAATATTTAAATAACTCGACGACGGGCGTGCCTGGGTGCGAATTACTCGTCGTAAGTCAGTCGACCAAGTCTTGAAAGTCTTCGTACGTAGAAGTTAGAAGAGTTGTAACGTATGTGCTATGGGATGATATATAATGATACGTTTTTGCTTTCTTTTCTCTCTCTCTTTTTTTCTCTTGAAATTTGCCTATAAATTAATATTTTTTTTTTTCAACCGTGCATCGTGACATCTTTATTCATTGGATAGATAGGGTTCGTTTAATAAACAACGACGCTCATTCTCTTTTTTGTTCTTTCTTTTTTTCCCCCGCTTTATCTTTTTCTTTCTTCTTTGCAATGATTTTATTCGTCGTAAAAAGAGGAAGGTAAAAAGGGTGAATGAAATCAAGTACAATGGACACCCAATGCTTTGTTTTACTCGTGGAAAATGGAACTCGTGAAATCGTTCGACGACGTTGCATTCTCTTCGTTTCGTTCGAGATCCTTGAAAAAAAAAATCGATAAATTTTTTTAGAAGTTAGAATTTTGATCGTCTCTTACTTGTTCATTCTATTTTTTTTCTTTTTTTTTTTTTTTTTTTTTTTTAGAAATGG